CTTTACTAGAATGTCCTCGTAATGGTTTCAAATCGAGATGGTACGGACATGACGGGACAAGCGCAGGACGGTCAAACGTATAATATAGAGTTTTGTTAGAGTTTTTAAAATCAAAGCTTTTAACTAAAATTTTTTGATGGAAAATAATTAAAATTTTCATGATATACTTCAATAAAAATAAAATAGTCAAGTCACTCAATATTTTATGTAACAAACTAATTCGACATTTACTTTACTCTAATTCTTTAACAATACAATTAAAATTTGTTTATAAATTTTTAGTTACTTAACCATTAGAAGCCAATAGTTTTTACTTTTTTATCAAGGCGGCCAATGTTTTGTTTATTTTAACTGTCACAAAATTTTCAATGTTTAAATCTATGTTTCTATATTTTTTTATTTGAGTTTAACTAAATGAAACTAGTAAAAATATGCCCTTTCATCTTTTCCAAAAAAAAAATTGATGCGCTAAGCAAATGTTTCAAATATATACATTGAGGCACGGCTCTCTGAAAATTAGTAGAGAAATTTTTTGGATTAGTCATATGTAAATAAATTTGTTTTAACTCTCCTAGAATTTTAAGACATTTTTAGTTATTTATTCAAACATTTGGTTATATGCTGATTTAAATTGTTAAACATTTGTGTGTGTTTTTAACTTGAAATATCAACTTTGTTGTTAAACCAAAAAAAAATTGATGCGATGAGGAGATTACTTTAATTATCATACCTACCAATAATTTTGTCTATGTTTATGAGTCGATCAGGACCCATATGTGTTGTTCTTCTCCAAGGCAATTCATATGGTAATGTTACTGATGTGCTTATTCTAGTGGGAAATGGGGGCCAAAATGTATGCTTAATTTCAAGTCTCGTTTTTTTTTTTATATATATATAAAGCAAAGTTATATGCCAAGTTAACTAGAAGTTATCAACAGTCTAACCGGTTTCGATTTCCCTCAATTGACTTCTGGTTAATTTGGTTTAGATAATCGATTGCAAACAATCCTTCGTTATCAATCTTTAATCTTAGTTTTCACTTTCTTCTTCTTTCTCGGATTTTTATAATAGTGATTAACATGCACGTTGAGAAAGTAACTTAACTTGTTTTCTCTTTTAATCTATAGCTAAATATATTATATATACATGGTTCATTGAATCGAGAAACATGGGAGGGCATTCAGAAACAACGTCAAGTGGTTTATTAGATTTTTTTTCTTCTGGCTATTGGATATATAAAAGCCGATTAGTAGTTTGGGGAATTGATAGATTACCAAATACTATAACACTAGGTATCAACGTTCATTCAATAAAATTGTGTAACATCTACTTTAATTAGGTCGACTTAACAATATAATACATAAGGACAACTTAAAATATGAAACTCTTTGACGTGTACCAACAAAGTATTTTGCATGGATGACATTATACCCTAAATTAATAAAGAAGTTTATATTGAAAGATCCCCCATAGTTTCTAGCTAGACCTACTCCATAGATATGAAAATCGTATATTTAGGGATGCGAAAATGGATCTCCTCGTTGACCAAAAAAAAAATGCATAGATCGATCTTCTCAACATAAACAACAAATACTCCTTCGATATTACTAAACAATTATTTCTCGGAAACAAAATATTACAAATTTATTTTAACCACAAAAGTGTTTAGTGCGGTTTTAGTTTCAAATCTTTTTATCAAAGTGTTTAATTCAATCTCCTTCAAAACAAAGAATTAATCAATTTATTCAGTTCAAAGTATATCAAGATTAAACATCTATACATTTATTCAGTTCAAAGTATGTTTTATATAATTTGTTTTTCTTAAAGACTAAATGAGTAAATAATGGTGTAAAGTGAAGATATAGATGTGTATAAATGGCAACCCATGCATGATTATTGCCTTGAACACCGCAACCCTATAGATTGAATGTCTAGTGGACCTGCAACAAAGTTCAAGAA